TTTCCTTTTTTTTTTTTTTTTCCTCCCGCACATTCGTCTTCACTCCTTCTCTGATTGCTGATCTGGGTGTTTGTATGAACTCCGCCTTCCTTGCACTTTTAAGAAGTATTTGACCTTGCACATGGGTGGTTGGGGCAAAACATTGTATCGAATGCCTCGACCTACATAGGTAGGCCATAAACACCCCGACATCTCGATTCTCCTTAAGACTGATCTTTGGCATCATTTCATTTATCTATACGCTTGGATATCTTGAGTCAGTAAAGAGCCTCGCGAAAACCGTCACAGAATGTGAGTTGACAAACAGATCAGCCTAGATTCGACAGACGAATACGCATCCAGCTGCATCCAACATTCCACCACGGACAGACCTGTTGCAGCTCAGTTCACTTTGCTGTTTCCTAAAAGAAAAGAGCCCAGCAATCTCCACGCCCACACCATTTGTCCCTTCTTCTACAATCTCAGAGGGACTACATCTTTTCAACCCACTCCTCTTTCCCATCCACCACCAGTCATCGCAGCTCTCTACCATGACGCCCACGCGCAACTCGTACCTGGCGTACAAGCGTGACACCAGTTACCTCATCTATTGGATGGTGCAAACATCCAACTCCATCATCAAGTCCCTAGCAGCGTCCGATGGGCCTCTGGATGGAGTGGATGGCGCTCCTATGCTGCCTCTCACCTCGGCAGAGATCACCGTTGCAGGCCTGTTTTCCCTTTCCAAGTTCGTCGCCAAGCACATCAACAGTGTTCCCTCGACTATTCTCGCCCTCTTCCAATCCGTCATTGAGGCGAGAACAGCTGCCCATGCTGCCTTCCAGCAGATGACTGCCAGAACTCCCGACCCGGATGTCGAGAAGAGCAATGCTTCCCACAAGTGCTTCATCGATGCTTTGAAAGAGTCGTTTGATGTTCTAGGTGGTCAAGATTGGAAGCCTGATTCCTCTTTCGACGAGGCAGACCTTCTGGCCGACACCGAACACGCCAAGGAAGAACTCGATCGCTTGCTCGCCAACAGATTCGGTGCCCTTGAGATTCATGGGTCTCCAGAAGCCGATGAGGCCTCTGACCAGGAAGGAACTCAGGAAATCGACATGAACCTCCCGCGTCGATGGAAACAAGCCAGGCCAGGCAAGGGCAAGAAGGGCAAAAAGGGCAAAGCCAAGAAGAGGTCAAAGGCCAAGGCTGCGCCCCCCAAGGAAGAATCTCTCGAAGGTGTACCCCTGGAGAGCTACCGCATTATCCAAGATGAAGATGGTATTGTCACGGATTACCTCATGGCTGTTTACGATCTACTCAAGCAATGCATGACCCTCCGAAGCTACCTGCAAGGCATCTGGCGCGAGGTGGCTTATGAAGGGCTCAACAGTGCATTGGCAGGTGCGCTTTCAAATATAGCCATCGCTATGATCCAGCGCTCTGCAGCCGAGATCTTTGTCGATTTTCCGGGCCATGACTCTTATGAGACAGTCATAAACACGATGACCCGGGGGGATATAGACAAGGCGCAAACTATGTTCCAGGTCTCCCTTATGCACTTCGAGCCAGGCAAAGGCACGCCACCGAGTGTGGAAGACCAGGCCCTAGATATCAAGGAACTTTTCTTGATTCATGCCTACCGTGATCTCCTTGATTTCGTTACCGATTTTCAGAAGACGCGAACGGGCAAGCCGACTAAACGGATGCTGGAACAGATCAAGAACTGGGATCCCAAGTTTGACCTGAGGCATGCTACGGATGAAGAGCGTATCAGGTGGCGTCGCTCATACACCATCAACTGGCTCTACGACCTGGTCAATGCCCTCTCGTTCATTGTGGTTCAACGCAACACTTTAGACGGCGAGAAACACGAGTACGGGAAGGTTGACTGGTCTCCAAAGGGTCCATGGAATCAGTGGCGGAGACTGTATGGGCTCAACGAGTTTGCTGGTTTCGTGACATCTCTTGCCATGCAAAAGCCTGGCACTGATATCCGAAACCGTATTCTTCCTCATCACATCTTCCAACTGCAATGCATCGTCGATTCGCTGACGGTGACCAGAGGCTGGACACATCATTCCCTCAGAGGTCATGTCGTTATCGCACCGCCACCCAGCTATAGATTCCATCCTCGGCGGGATGTCGACATGTTTTTGGATCGCAAGCTTACGCGTGAAGGTCGAGGCGTTCTTCAGGCGTTCAACGTCCTCAAACAGCTCTTTGAGAGAGATGGCGCATTGCATGGCGACATGAAGCGCCATTGGGCTAACTACGAACTTCTCGAGCAATTCCACTTCGATTATCTCTGGTGGCTCGGCGAATCCAAGTACAAGAATGGTCTCGAGGCCATTCCTCCTTCCCGCTTCTCTCACGTTAATTCTAACGGGCTGTGGGACTACTCGCCCTTCCTCTGCGGTGTCGGACTCGAGGAAGCGCTGGATCTGGCGTACGTATCCGCAATGCTGATCTGGGATGACATTCCCGAGTCCACGATGGTGCTACACTTGCACAACATGTTAGTGCAGGAAGGCTATATCAAGGAGCCGAACGGCCTATTGGGAGTCCTGGAGCAGCTTTTCGCAGATTGCTTTTTCCCCGACGGAGAGCCGCCTGTTGCAAACTACCACAAGGCGTTACAGAAGTCGGGTCGAAACCCCCCCCCCCCCCCGTGGCCCCCCCAGGGAGTGGCAACCAGCGAGAAAGGCTGCTGCCTCGGCAGGAGATGTCCATGGGCTCATGAACCCCAGCGCCAACAACACGTTCCGGGAAAAGTCCCTTCTGGTCGTCTTGCGCGAAGCGGGCTGGAACATCGACCGCATTCGCGATGCCGATGTCGCTTTCCCCTCAGTGCTGGGCGCGCTCCGCCTCGCCCACACAAAGAGCACTACTGATCCTGTCACGGGCAAGAAACGTCTCGAAGAAACAGAAGTTACTAAGAAGGCCAAGGCCCAGGGCATGAGCGAGGCGCAAATCTTGGAGGTGACGAGCCTGAGCGAAAAGGTCCGGGCCGAGCAGAAAAAGGTGCTTGAGAGGCCCGTCGAGCGGGTTACCGATGCCGCTTCGCACGATAGCTACTGCACCTGCTTCAACCTTGCCGACCCGCGCTCCATGAATAGGGCGCGTGTGGCTGCGGGAGCCGGGCAGGTCATCATTTCCGACACCGACATGCTTGAGTTTGCGAAGAAGGACCTCAAGGCGGACATCTCGGGCGAGCGTCCACTGTCGGCCCTAAACCTTCTCTGGGTAACCGTGTGGTTCTACATGATCTTTGAGAGAGTCGAGGCGGAGCTGGAGAAGAAGGGGAACCCGCTTTGGGTGCGCGCGTACAAGCAGGACCGCGGCCTGACGGCGAAACACAAGCGTGTGACCTTGACTCTGTTGACTATGGTTGAGCGAGATCCGGAGTGCTTGGAGGTTATGGCTGATGCCATCACAAACTTGGAGGGAGCGTACTTTCAGTACATTTACTGGGACAACCTTGAGTTTGAGGCTGACAAGTCGGGAAAAGATCCACAGCCTTTAAGGTTAAGGTTCAAGTCAGCAGGTGCTTCTAGTCCTATTAACCCAGATATAGATCAATGTTCTGTTATGTAAAGGAGTCTCATCAGCATGTTGCACCCATTTGTATACCTACGGTCTGTATAATGTATGATTGATATCTACGATGATAGGTAGATGTTCACTTTGTGCTATGCCTCTACCAGTCGACGTATATATTACTATTAAAAAGTTCAAGGAACCAAAAAATAGTGACAAACTCAGTCATCCCCGACCGGGAAATGCGACCCCCATTCTTCCCCCCAGTTCGATCAATGATACATCCTCCACTTAAATAACGAAGGTTATTTCTAACCCCCGGAGATTTATTTAATTCCCTGCCAGCATTCCCTCGAGCTTTGCCACCAAGAGCCTTAGCCACAAGTCACGAGATTTGAAGAATATCGCATTTTCCTTAGGGAATATTATGTTAACCTGGAAAGGTTGAGGTTTGGACCTGAGTTCCAAAGGTTGAAGAATATCGCTTGGAAAACAAGTGCTCAGTACCAAGTGTGTGGTTCGAACTCCTTGTCTCTTTGCGAATCCCTCGGTCCCCTCAAAGGTTTGGGCAGGTAGCAGGCTGAACGATATACCGCTACGCCATGGTGCCACTGGTGGTCGGGTAATTGGTTTGTCTTGTGGCGGAAGGAGGGGGAGGAAGGTAGGGTTATAAAGAGATGTGCGGTGGAGAGGGCAGTGGGCAGTGAAGTGAGTTGTGGGAAGGTGTGAGGGAAGTGTAGGAAGGTGGGAATGTGGGAGGGAAAGTGGGTAGGTTGGTTGGGAAGGAGCGATGGAAGCAGGCTGGACGAGAGAAGCTGAGCCAAGGGCGATTGGAACCTTGGTCGTTTGATCGCGAGGCAAACGACTTCAGGCTCTTCAAAGAATACAATTAAGCAATTAGAGGGCAGATACAATGGGCCGGTACCGCTTGTGTCTAAGCCCTTCCTTGCTCCGATCCCTATCAAGGTATCAGAGAGTTTTGCAAATAGACACTCACTGGACAGTCGGCCTTACAATACCATTAGAAGATGAATTGTTCCTGGCGGAACACCCCCTACTATGGAGACGAAGCTATTTCTTTGTTACGGATGGATTGATGAGATGGGCTTTTCTGCTAAGCTAATGATGTTCTTTGGGGTAGTCGGTGTCACTCGTCCTCGCGTGAGGTATCTCACATCACTTGTATAGGACACTCCTGCCTTGTTGGCGAGGCATGACTCCGATTTTTTTTTCTGGGATGGAACTAACCTCTATCGGCACCTAGAGCGAGCTAGAGGTACTCTGCGATGAATGTGAGGAAAAGGAACGGAGGGAAGGAAATCCTCACTTTGAGGTACTAGTCAAAGGAGCACAGCAATGAGTGGAAAAACAGCCTATCTCGAGCAATCAACTTCGTTGGTATCGATTCAAACACCCCAAACAGATCTATCATTGTACATATAATGGTATGACAATACGCTCCAAACGTCGTCCCCAGAAAACAACATCTTCTGCATATGGAAAGAAGAACATATATTTTCACATGCCATCGTCTTACACAAAGGCCTGAACACCAGTGATAGCCCTTCCCAGAATGAGACCTAAATCGGAACAGTCAGCATCTTCCACATCACTTCACCCTTTTCAACCCTTTCACCATTATTCAGGTCGGGTCAAACTTACTATGAATATCACTCTGGCCCTCATAAGTCTGCGTGACATAAAGATTGGCCACCACCCTTCCAATATGGTACTCATCCGAGACCGCATTGCCGCCAAAGATCTCCTGCAGCGTGCGGGCGTGATACAGCGTACGATCGCAGTTCTGGCGCTTGATCATGCTGATCATCTCTGGGGTAGCCTTGCCCTCGTCCTTGAGGCGGCCGACCTGGATAGCCGCCAGGGTGCCGTAGGCGACATCGGTGATGGCCTCGGCCAGCTTCTTCTGGACAAGCTGGTACTTGGCCAAGGGATTACCCTTGAACTGCTTGCGCTCGAGGGCGTAGGTGCGCGCCCTGCTCAAGCAGTCCTCGAGCGCGCCCATCATGCCGAAGGCGATGCCGTAGCGGGCGCTATTGAGGCACGTGAAGGGCCCCTTGAGGCCCTCGACTTCGGGGAACATGTTCTCCTTGGGCACGGGGCAGTTGTCTAGCTGGATCATGCCCGTAATGGAGGCGCGCAGACCCGTCTTATTCTTGATCTGGGGCGTCTCGAGAGTACCAGGCGGACAGGCGGACCGCTCAACCAGGAAACCGCGGATCTTGCCCGTCTCCTGCAGCTTGGCCCAGACGACCAGGACGTCGGCGATGGGCGAGTTGGTGATCCAGGTCTTGGCGCCGCTGAGCAGGTAGACGTCCTTCTTGGTAGGGTGAGGACGGGCGACGGTCTCCATGGAACCCGGATCGGAGCCGTGGTTGGGCTCGGTCAGGCCGAAGGCACCGATGATCTTGCCCTTGGCCATGCCGGGCAGGAACCGCTCCTTTTGCTCGGCGGTGCCGAAGTCGTTGATGGGGCCCATGACGAGCGAGGACTGCACCGACATGCCACTGCGGTAGCCGCTGTCGACACGCTCGACGGCGCGGGTGATCAGACCGCTGGCCACGGAGGAAACGCCGGCGCAACCGTAGCCCTCGATGGTGGCGCCCAACAGGCCCAAGTCGCCCATTTCCTCGAGGATTTTGGGGTCGTAGTGCTCATCGCGGTAAGCCTGCAGCACGCGGGGGAGAAGCTGTTCCTGGCAGTAACGCTCGGCAGTCTCGCCGATGGCAATCTCGTCCTCAGTGAAGAGAGACTTGGAGTTGAGAGGGTCTTCCCAGTTGAAGGAGGGAGCGTTGGAGGTGGCAGAGGCAAAGGCACGGACCGAGGAGGGAGTGGTGGTGACGTTGGTGCGCGGCGCCGAGAAGGCCTGACGCAGAAGCCCTTGAGGGCATCTCCTGGCGAGAATGCGAGACATATTGAACTGATGAAAACAACGGGTATCAAACAATCAAAAGGAAGGGCTTGTCACTTCACAAAGTATTTCAAGGTGTTACGTCAGCCTTTATGTATAAAAGTTGACTCTCCAGATTTCCAAATAAAGACATGAAGTCCGGCTTCGGTGCATCTCCGCCCGCGAGGGCGGGGGTAATGTTTTCCACTGTTGGGTGTTGTTGTAGCATCAAATGCACCGCTGTTCCCGCTATCTCCCCCGCTGTGAGGAGTTTGTGAGACTCACTGAGCCACTGACCTCATCGGAGTTGGGACCCGGTCGTCATTTTACGGGTGTCACGGCCACCCTGAACCACCGTTTGCCGAGCATTCCGATTCCCACTTTTTAAGCTTCCCGAGGCACTTTTGCTGCATTGGGTTAGGGTTGTACATGTGCATCTGGAAAAGGGGTATGAAAACAAACCTGGGTCGGACAAACGTTGAGCCAAGAGGTGATAGGGGTCAGACTAAGCTCAGGAAGTCTTACACAGGTTGGGAAAAGATGCCCGCGCTTTTTTGGTGATGTTCTATGTGCTTATACGTTGCGAACTACAATGTCAACGCCAGACAACCAAAAGGCAAGACGAAAAGAAGAGCACCCGTATTACTCGGCTTTCCCTTGATGGGAAATGGAGAAAGGGTCGAGGCCTAGACGCAGGCGATATCGGCTTTTACCTACAACTGCTCGATTGCTTTATCTGAAGAGAATACAGGCAGCTGGAGTGCTTCACACAAAGTAAATCGAAGGCGAGTAAGTCAGATATTCGTTCAAATTTGAAGTGACCACTTACGTTGCAAACTTGTTTCTTCGCTTGTAGCAAACCACGTTCGGGATACGACTTGCCTTCGTGATTCTTTTCCAGATCCTATGAGCTCCGATTAAGTCCAGCAAATAAACTCGCATTTGGATAAACCGAGTCAATTGGCGGCGGGCTTAACAGTGAGCCAACAATTTGGGACTTGAGTTGACTTGACTTGAGTTGACTTGACTTGAGTTGACTTGACTTGTGTGAAGCACCGAGTGAGGTGAGTATGTGACATAAGAGCGCTGAGTGCAAGGTAAAGAACAGTAGAATTGCCGGCTCATTAACAGAATGGAGATGCACCATGCTTCCCACCGGCCGTGGTGTTTTGATGTCGTCTCATGCTTGCCTAAATACTAGATCTTGCTTGACTGTCAGTTACTCAGTTGGGGCCCCCACCCATATCATGCCTTCACAAACGTATGGTGTTTGATATTACTGTGACAGTCATTAGCATCGGGCCTCGGAAGTTCTACTTCGTTCTAGGCGGGACATGGGGACGTTCTAGACGGCCGTGAAACCTTACCTCTACTACGCATACGGTCAGTCATGATCCAATACGAGCGGCTTCCAATCTCGAACTGCGATTCCAAGACCTATATAAGGTCCATGAATTCTACCTGTTTGGTGGTAGAAGATTTTCTTCAACCCACCGATCAAGCATAACAGTCCAACTTGAGTACACCTATCGATTCCAGAAGAGAAAGAGACAAAATGTGCGGAACACTTACACCAAGTGCGAATGTCGCGACTGCAGCGAGGTGGTCTCGACCAGCACCGACAGCCTGAAGTGCACAAAGCGAGTATTTTGGGGCAGCTGTGGTTGTATTACTTCCGATAGCAGGGAGGTCAGCAAGCGGGCCGACAAGATATGCAAGACCTGCGAGGTGAAGAAGGACGTGGAGGAGAGGAGGAAGAGGCTGGAGGCCGCAACAAGGGCGACCGCTGCGAGAGATCCTCCTCCGATTAATTACTAGAGGTAGTGGTAGTTGTTACCTGTAGTTCGGATTAGCAGGATTGAGGGGCCTGAGGTGGAAGAAGTTGGATTATCGAAAGGAGGAATCGAGGGAAGGAGGGATTCTTTTTATGTTTAAGTTCGCAACATGGAACCATGTTACTCTTCCCACCATCCGCCCGCGATTGCCGTGACAAGGACAATGCCTCTGCCCGGTGGTGTAACTTCCTCAGCCCAACCGCTCATCAGAATAAGTGTAGTTCCATTGTGTGAAGCCATCGCAGTTCCCCTCGCAGTTCCCATCCATACTGGACTTGCCGGTTATTGATGCTGTCTTGTGCTTTTCTTTCCGCACATCGCCAAAGTCCGTGGTAGAAGCATTTGAGTGTCTCCGTTTTGTTGGGTGCCATGGACGTGTACACGGAAGGGAGTTTTTCCAAGACGCACCGGGGCACTGGTTCCACCCTATTGATGCGGCGACAGAGCGATCCGCCATATTCACCTTCCAGGGCGGTGCTTTCTTTTCGTTCCGCACCACCGACAAAAGTCTGATGGCCGACGTATCATAGTTGATTTGGCTCAGGGGTGTATGGTGGGTCGTTTGTTTTCGCTATTCCGGACTTTGTAAGGTCTGATTGCCGGATGTGAGGTATTGATGTTGTGGAGTTGCTGGCTCATGATGGTTACTCGATTTCGTCTTCAGTAATGGCTGCTCTTTCGTTCTCGAGGGGCCTGTGCCGTGGGGTTTCTTTCTTTCTGGCAGTTGTTGTCGATCTGCATCGCTCTCAAGTTCAGATCCGAACCGCGCCCCCGGGAACATGTGTTCCGTCCTCGGAAAGCTGTCGACGTACATGGGCGGGGGAAGCTGCCAGTCTTATCCCTAGTGATGTGTCGCTGTGGTCTCGTAGTTGGCAGGAACGTTCTGCTATTGGGAACCCCGCGGCGGCCGGTCTGCTGCTCCGTCGGTATATCTCCACTTTATTATGTCGCGCCTTCCCACCCTCGAATGTTCGCTCTTTCCTCGGCGTCTAGGTAAGCCGGAATGGTGGTGCTATATTGACCGGTCGAACGTATTTCGGCAACTGTTGCTTGTCTCGGACAGCGCACTGCCTTTGCAAAAAATGGGGTCTTGTCTGTCAGGTCAGCTTCCAAATGGGTAAAAGGTATCTCTGCTCCCCCTCCTCTGAACTTTTTTTTCCTTTTCTCTTGTTCTCCAAGTCGATTTGCAAGACTGTCTGTTAGATGGACTTAGTTCTCCATTGCAGAGATCTCACTTCGGTAAGATGGGCTGATGTTTTGCACGGATGATTTGGCTTTCGCGAATTTTCGAATCATACTCTCGTCTTTGACGACACATACGCCTTCTTTTCCGTTGCTGTCGTTGGGATGTGTTTCATCGTCCTTGTGAAGTGAGGAAGAAAATTATTTTCATGCAGTCGGCCTTTGTATTGTCGTTGTCATCGTCACAGGTGGTGATGGTCGTGATCTGAGTCGGTGTGCGTCTCTTGTCGGTCGGCTGTTGACACTTTGGTTGAGTTCGTTCATCAAGAGTTGATTTGTTCCTATTGTGTCTTGTAACTCTGCTGCTGTGTGTTGCCAACTAGGTCCCACATGATGTCGCCGCGTCTTTGATGTTTGGTGCCTTCTTAAAAGTGTCGACTGGGGTGATTAGGAATTGTACCTGTGGTATGCTGTGAACCTCGACATGTGGGCGAACGGATTCTGTGTTGTAAGTAACCTCAATCTGTTGCTGTACTAATAACCATGGAAGAGATATCATACCGATGGGGTTTTATTGTCAATATCCAACCATGCCGGCGTCATCTTCAAGAGGAGGGAGGAGAAGAGGGTTGATTTGGTGGTGAAGAACACAAAGCCGACACTGTTGAACAACTGGTGGGAGAGAGGAACAGTACAGCCCAAGCATTAGGAGGGAGGAGTCTGTCATTTATACCTTTCACTGGAAAAAAGAAGGGCAGTTATGCAACACCACCTGCGGAACAGTTTTATTTCTTTGAGTTTTCAAGGTCCGCAAGTGGAAGTGCATGAGAAGACCAAGGCACCCGGCATGCAGCCGACTGTGAGATACCTACCGGTACACCCTAAATCCTGATTGAGCACAATCAAATGGCCCCTTTTATGTATTTCCACCCAAGGTGTCGGTCACTAGAGCCAATACATATGCCCTTTGTTGGTGAAGTCTAAGGTTTTGACGAGGAGTGCATAGCAACGGAGGTCCGATTTTGACCTCCAAGATGCAACAAAGATGAGCCAGAGACATGCATAATCGCCTCCTAAATCTGCACTCTCCCACCTATCTTTTCAACTGATTTGATTTTCCTATTAAATAATAACCATTGTCGATTCGTACTTTTGGAGTGGAACCTGTCCATGTCCGGCCTTCTGAAGTCGAAAAAGTGCACTATATTGTGCGTCTTTGGTACGCCCCGAGCCGAACCGACCCGGAGCTGGTTCATCGACCATCATCCGAAAATTCGATGTAGGCCGTTTGGTTTGAATGGAACCACGTTGAAGGCGTATAGATAATAACTTCGGTTTCCTCTTCCTTCCATCCCAGCCTTCCTAGGTGATCTTTGACCGCAAACAACGCATTTCCACCTGGTCAGTATTTCTCCCTCTGTCCAATCGAACCACACGATGCTCACTCTCCTATTGTTCGTTTACAAGAAATGCTGACCGAGTGTCATGTTTGAATAAGATGGAAGTTGAGGCTTCATTCCCCGATGCCTTTCACGATGTTCCTTCCGGTCGTCGTTGGCTTTCAACTTCACCGGCCGGCAACTGTTGCCGGCGGGAGTCTTTCGTCTCGGAATGAGCTCGCCAGTGCGGTGGCGGTGCACTGACGATGACGAGATCAGCCAGTGGCGCTGTCCTTTTTGGGCTTACTGATTGGTCAGATTTATGGGCGTCAGTCCACCCTGCCATCTGAATTGCCAGCCGCTCATGCCGCCTACGCCAACAGACAACAGCGGCAGGCGGTCTTGCAGCAAGAGCCTTGAGTGGTCGGCCACGGGGCAGGGCAGAGCCATCGGCGGGCAGCGAAAGCGCGCCGTAGCCCAGAGACTGGGACTGGTGGGACAACCTCACTGGGCCGGGGACTGGCTTCCTCAGGCTCCTGCCCGCTGGCACCTGAACGGGAACCCACCTTTGTTCGCCTGATCCTGATCCATTTCCTCCTCCGCCATTCCATCCTACTCTCCTGCAACTTCGACGACATCAACTAGTTTGCATCCCGTCACCATCTTCTCACCAGTTGACGAAACCCACCCCAATACCCTGGTGTGACTCAGCGATATAGTGCTTTCTGCTTTCCATCTTGTAAGTCCGCCGCCGGTCTTCTCGCCGCCGCCATTCGTGATCGACTTTTTTCCCGTTTGCACGACCAACGTGCCTATTATCGCCGCAGCCAGCCCAGCCTGATTCACTGCCCACTGCCCATTCATTCCGCTTCTTTGCTCTTCCACCGCCCGCAAACGCTGACCCTGACCCTTTTAAATCTTGCAGCCACCCTCCGTGTCGTCAACGCAACAACAGCACTTACGACAACTAAACAACCACCCACCTTTTACACAATTAATATCACACAATGGCGTTGAAGCGCATTAACAAGGAGCTCGCTGATCTCGGCCGGTATGTAAACAAGAATCCCGCTAGCCCATTTGCCGTCTCGCGCGACACCGCAAAAGCGTCATTCCGGCGCAACGTTCAGTAGTGGGGCCGCAGTTGGCGGGGTTTACGCCGCCGCCGCCGTTTCCGTTGCCGGACCTCGCGCCGTCTCGACCGGTCCCGCAGATGCCAAAGATGCGTTCCTGATTACGATGTTGAATCTTATGCTAACGTGTTGTTGTTCGCAGCGATCCGCCCTCCTCTTGCTCTGCTGGCCCTCAGGGTGAAGATCTTGTATGGATAAGCCACCCCGCTTTTCGATAAGCACGACTCGACCCCCGGCATCGCGTCATGACCTTTGCCCTGGGTCGAACCGTGGCATCGTGCTCGTTGACAGCATTACTGACGTGCTCGATTGAACAGTTCCACTGGCAAGCGACCATTATGGGCCCTGCCGACTCCCCTTACACCGGCGGCGTTTTCTTCCTCAACATTCAGTTCCCTACCGATTATCCTTTCAAGCCCCCCAAAGTCAGCTTTACCACCAGGATCTATCACCCCAACATCAACTCGAACGGCAGCATCTGCCTCGATATCTTGAGGGATCAGTGGAGTCCGGCGTTGACGATTTCCAAGGGTATGTTTCCCTGTCTATGCTCTTGTAGCGCTCATGGTCGATAGGCCGCTAACAAATTTACAGTTCTGCTCTCCATCTGCTCGATGTTGACGGACCCCAACCCTGACGACCCGCTTGTGCCCGAGATTGCGCACGTGTACAAGACAGACCGCGCCAGGTATGAGGCGACGGCTCGCGAGTGGACCCGGAAGTATGCTATCTAGAGTAGATAATGGGATGGATTTTATGGCCGACAAGCAGCGCTGGATCGTTTCTTCAACATTTTGGCCCCTCTCTCGGAGGGGCACCGACATATTCATCATGGGAGCACGCATGTCTTGTAGTTCCGGTTCGCGTCCTATATCCCTCTAGGCTCAGAGGGAATTCTCAGCTCTTCAGTGCGAAGATTGCAAATGCCATTCGAGCGGCTCGAAACAGCGGAGGACGTGGGTGTGGCACAGTAATCGGTGTCTTTCGATGTCACGACAAGGGGCAGGGCGGAATCAGCAGGTACAAGATGCAACCATTGAGTACCGGCACTCATGTTTCTTTGCTCGCATCACATTATTCACAAAGGTCTGCAATACCAAGGGGTTCCAGTACAATAGCATTTGGTCTTTCCCTCTACCGTTTCTGATGCATGGCCTGTGCTCTTCCGTGAATGACGTCTTTCATGCACGAGTATGGTATCGGGCGACGTGCGACTAATTGTCCCGCTACTAACCTTGATGGCCGTGGCAGAATCACTGCAGCCTTGCTCAGATGCAATGTGAGACTTGTCATCTCCCCGACATGTGGTTCACAAGCCCAACAGGCTGTCCAAAAACAAGGTAAATGACCAAGTAGCCATCATATATGTCATGATTGCTCAATAATGACTCTAATCACAGGCCACGATATTGAAGCTGTAGAGGTCCAGATTGGCCGAGCGGCGTAGTCATCGAGAAGATATCGGATATCTTACAAGAAGTTGATGGTATGTCCGGACGGGTACGATTTGCCGGTATTGGGGCCTTATAAGCATGGCTCATCAGGCTGGCCCTCCCCGCGGTTACGTTGGTTGCAGTGGGCAAACATTCGCTGCGGCCATATTGAACAGTTGCCCATGCTTCGAAGTCCTTAACCTGGAACTGAGGTGACAAAAAGGCTTGTTTGAGAGTTCGGCGCTTAGAAGCCTGGGCTGAGGTTGCACGGGATCGGGCCCGCACAACAGTAATTCAATGACGATGAGATCTCATGGTCATTGGACTATTAAGCCGACAACCACATCAGATAACCACAGTACGTACCGGATCGCGCTGCGGATGCCGTGATCATGGAACGAATCTAAATCTGGATGGTGAAGATTGTCAAGACGTCTTTCAGGTATCCTGATGACTTCTTGGGCCTTGAGAGAGCCCCTAAAAGCACAACGCTAAGACCTCCCAAGGCCCCCTGTCAAATGTGTCAGGATCCTGGCCGAAACGGGGACTGCAACACGGGCTGAACCGAATGAACAACCTCTGGCCAATCACGAGACTACAAGCGACCTTTGTGGGGCCATTTAGCCCATGTCTCCAAGTCCCCAGAGTCTTTGCAGTCTTCAAAGTTGTCTCCCACTTGTCTTTGCTCGATTCTCCATCTCCGAACAACGAAACGTCCCTGATCCCATCCGCCTTCGATTGGGGAGTTCTCGTACCAAACCTCAAAAGGGTCTCAAGCGCATCGGTTCAAACAGGAGAGGCTGGTCATGAATCCAGAATGGCGCCATTATTTCGTCTGCCATTGACACCAGGCGGTCCTTTCTCGGGTTGGATGCCGCGACGCCTTTTTACTAACCAGCCCAGTCCTCTTTGGTCAACCTTTCAGGTCTTCGTTGCCGCTTTAGAGAGTTCACGAGATTGATGAAGCCATGGGATTTCGGCTCTCCGGCACAGAAAAACACCATCGTCTGTGGGAAAGAATATCTTCAAGTGAACAATCATATCACCCCATAGCCTTTGGCGCCACACGAGGCACAGAAACAGATCTCGGCGTTAAGCGACTTGACTGGAGAGACACGGCAAACGGCCGTGGTGATGGGAAGTACTTCTGTCTTTTCATTCGCTGTGGCGGCGACTAAAGTCTAAGCACTTTGGTCCTTTTCCCCTGTCCTTCGGTGATGTGCCGAGAGTGCTGGGAGTACCTGGTGCAACCATTGCACCCATTGCACCGCTAACAACGCTAAATGACACCTTTGGCAGGGTCGCTCGTTTCAACATCTACGAACCTGGGGTTGAAGTTGCAAAGGATCCCACGCTTTCGGTCATTCGATTTTCTCGGCCTCTTTTCCCTCATTTCTCTTTTTGAATGGTCCCCTGAAAGAAAAAAAGAGCCCCTGGCAGGTTCCAGACTTGGGAAAGCCTCCAGTTCCTAGTCCATACACCTCACTAACTTTCTGTCTGTGCCTCAAACACTTTGTCGAGTCATTTCTTTTTCTGGCCTGTACACTCCTCTCGTCTCCTCTCTGTTGGCTTCTTTCCTCTTCTCACCCACGTACCGAGTTGACACGCTTTGGGCATTTCTCGACATCGAAGGGCTCCCCAGTTCTCCGATAGGTGAAGGAGAAGCAAGCCGCCAGGTGCAGGCATTCGTAGTTACAGGTATGATCTACATGGCATCACCTCATGTGTTTCTAATTCTCCGACTCTGATCCGCTTGGCGTCACTGTGTTCTTAACCATACTCTTCCTCTCCCACGTCCCCTACTCCGTCTAGTCTCTTTGTTCCTTTCTTTCCTCTTTTTCCCGTTTTCTGCAGAGCATCTACCACCTAGAGCTTGTGATCGCTGACCAACACCAGATCATTGTGGCAGCTACAGGCTCATACCATTACATTCTTTTACAACAATTTTTGTTATCATTTCTCGACTCTCACTTAATACTTGCGTCTCTCGAACAGTTCAGCAGGCTCTGACTTCCGAGGACCGATTCATCAGAATTCGACAACGATTTTGCAACTTTCTTGGGAGGATTGAAAAGAGCAGACCTCTTATCAGCGGGGTCTAGGGCATACAACTGAAGGGGTGAAAAGGGTTTGGGATTCATTTTCGACGGAGGATTGCGAACGACGCACGCGAATATTCCGACGACAACAGAAGCAACCCAGACACGATGAGTTACGGGGGATATGACCTTTACAGGTCAAACACAGATTCATCGTTCGAAAAGCCGTCAGAAAGGTCAAGATGGACGCCACTCACACGCATGCTATTATCGGGTGAGATGACCCAAGAAAGGCAAAAAGAGTTGAGCCCGAGAGAAAAGTTCGACCGATGGATGGTCAACGAAGGTTATCGACGAATGTAAGCACACCACATCACAGTCCCTTTGACCGTTGGTAGCCTATTGGGACACAGGGAAGAATGGGAATGCTGACTGTTACAGCTTCGTCTTCGTCTTCATGCTGCTCCACGCCATTGTTTTCGCCTTTGGCTTCGTTAACTTCGCCGTCAAAGACAACCTACAAATAGCGCGGGAAACGTTTGGGCCTACATACATGATTGCGAGATCGGCAGCACTGGTTCTGCACGTCGATGTTGCCCTGGTTCTTTTCCCCGTCTGCCGAACGCTCATCTCCCTCGCAAGACAGACTCCTCTGAACGGCATCATCCAGTTCGACAAGAACATCACCTTCCACATCACGACAGCATGGTCCATCTTCTTCTGGTCGTGGGTCCACACCATTGCCCATTGGAACAACTTCGCCCAGATCGCAGCCAAGAACAACCTCGGAATTTACGGCTGGCTGTTGGCTAACTTTGTCTCGGGCCCGGGTTGGACTGGTTATATCATGTTGATCGCGCTCACAGGGATGGTCATCACTTCGGTCGAGAAGACAAGGCGGGCGAACTACGAGCGATTCTGGTACACGCACCACATGTTCATCGTCTTCTTCTTTTTCTGGTCCATCCACGGCGCCTTCTGCATGATCCAGCCCGACTTCGCGCCTTTCTGCATCTCCATCGGCACCCAGGCCGTCGGCGTGTTCTGGCAGTACTGGATGTACGGCGGCTTTGCCTATCTGGCCGAGCGCATCGCCCGCGAGGTCCGCGGCAAGCACAAGACGTACATCTCCAAGGTCGTCCAGCACCCCAGCAACGTGTGCGAGATCCAGATCAAGAAGGAGAACACCAAGACCCGCGCCGGCCAGTACATCTTCCTCTGCTGCCCGGCCGTTTCGCTGTGGCAGTACCACCCTTTCACCCTCACCAGCGCGCCCGAGGAGGACTACATCTCGATCCACATGCGTGTCGTCGGCGACTTTACCCGGCAACTCGCCGAGGCCCTAGGCTGCGAATTCGATAGCAAGAAGAAGGGCGACGACACATCCAAGGTCGTCGGCGTCAGCCAAGAGAACGATGAGGTCGACCCCGCCCTCCGCCGCGTTCTCCCCCGCGTGTACGTCGATGGCCCCTTCGGCTCCGCTTCCGAAGACGTGTTCAAGTACGAGGTCTCCGTTCTCGTGGGTGCCGGTATCGGCGTGACCCCCTTCGCCTCCATTCTCAAGTCGATCTGGTACCGCATGAACTACCCGCAACAAAAAACGCGGCTGAGCAAGGTGTACTTCTTCTGGATCTGCCGCGACTTTGGTTCCTTCGAGTGGTTCCGCTCCCTGCTTCTGGCGATCGAGGCCCAGGATGTCGACCACCGCATCGAGATCCACACGTACCTGACGGCCAAGATCAAGGTCGATGATGCGACCAACATCATGATCAACGATGCCAATGCCGATAAGGATACCATTACCGGCCTGAGGAGCCCGACGAACTTTGGACGGCCAAACTGGGATATGATCTTTAGGGGCATCAGGAAGTTGCATGCCCCCGGAGAGGCAGGTGTGTTCTTCTGCGGTCCCAAGGGTCTGGGTAGCGCGTTGCATGTTTATTGCAATAAGTATAGTGAGCCTGGGTAAGTTTTTATGATCCTTTTGTGCTGGAGTTGTAGACGAAAGATGCTAACCTCTTGTTGATAGTTTCCACTTTGTCTGGGGCAAGGAGAACTTCTAAACGTCTTTGTCGGAATTCCCGTTTACCTACTTCACTCAACAACCTCATCTTTTGGGCACGATCTCACTCCTGTGTCTTCTACCATAGTGTATACAAGCATTTTGAATGGAAATGATTATGAAATTTGTTAGATAGTCAGCTGTTTCGTCTCTTTATGTACCACTTATACCACTTTCTGTTTTCAGGTCATATGAAGAAGTTTTAAGGCAGTCAGAAGGCTCGAGCCAAACGTTTGACCATTGTTGGCACAACTGTACCAAAATAATGCTATTCCTGAATTTGGCCAAGTAATCACGCAGAATGTGATATAATCCAAAAGGAAGACCAACAGGATGATGAAGACAAATTGGAGCTCTCGATGCTTCTCATCAACCCCTTTGCTCTAAGTACCTGCACATCCAACCCTGACCCACAGTTCTCCCAAAGCATCATTTCGACGCATGCAGGGATTATAAGTGCCCCATATTTACCAGTCGCGAAAGAGGTGCGTCTCCGGGCAGGCAATCGAATCCCCTCCACCTCAGCTTTCCAGCGCGTCAATTCCACTTGGACGGACGCGGAAAGCTTCCTCTCTTTTCCCGTCAGGCACAAAAAAGTGACATCACCAACAGACGAACCAAACGACCAAGACACCCTTCTTCCGACCCGTCTTCAACAACATACGATAACATCACCCCGAGTTTGTCTTTGTCGCCAACCCAACGAAAGGCCGAATTCTGAATCGCATGAGCGACAACCGCAAAGATGGGTATTAAACAGCTTTTCTCGATCATCAAAGATGAAGCGCCGGCGGCCATCAAGGAGGGCGATATCAAGAACCAGTTCGGTCGCAAGGTTGCTATTGTGAGTTTTTTTTTTTTGACTTTCTTTTCAATCTTGCGAAACGACCTACCTTTTATCATCAACACATGCTGACTTCTACTTTGACAGGATGCGTACGACTCCTCATCCCTCGTCCGACCCCAACTCCGACCCCGATCCTGAAAGACCATAACCGCTAACACATACCCCTCCAATGATACAGCTCCATGAGCATCTACAGCTTCCTAATCGCCGTCCGCTCCGACGGCCAACAACTGATGAACGAAGCCGGCGAGACCACCTCGCACCTAATGGGCATGTTTTACCGCACCCTCCGGATGGTCGACAACGGGATCAAGCCACTCTACGTATTCGACGGCGCTCCTCCAAAACTCAAATCGGGCGAACTCGCCAAGCGCTTCCAGCGCAAGCAGGAAGCGACCGAAGGTCTGGAGGAAGCCAAGGAGACGGGCACGGCCGAGGACGTGGAGAAGTTTTCGCGGCGCACGGTGCGCGTTACGAGGGAACATAATGCCGAGTGTCAAAAGTTGCTGAAGCTGATGGGAATTCCGTATATCGTTGCGCCGACCGAGGCCGAGGCGCAGTGCGCGGTGCTGGCCAGGGCCGGGAAAGTTTATGCGGCGGCGAGCGAGGATATGGATACGCTGTGCTTCCATACGCCGATTTTGCTGAGGCATTTGACGTTTAGCGAGCAGAGGAAGGAGCCGATTCAGGAGATTCATACGGATAAGGTTTTGGAGGGGTTGGGGATGGATCGGAAGCAGGTATGTCTTTTTGGTCCTTCCCGTTCTTTGCGCGTGTTGCCAGAATTTGCTGTGATTTACGAATGCTAATCAATACCTCAAAAACAGTTCGTCGACCTCTGCATCCTCCTCGGCTGCGACTACCTCGACCCGATCCCCAAAGTGGGACCCAGCACCGCCCTCAAGCTGATCCGCGAGCACGGCACGCTCGAGGAAGTAGTAGAGTGGATGAAGGCCGACCCCAAAGGCCGCTACCAGATCCCGGAGGACTGGCCATTCGAGGACGCCCGAGCTTTGTTCTTCGAGCCGGACGTGCGGCCCGCCGACGACCCGCTGTGCGACTTCAAGTGGGAGAAGCCTGACATCGAGGGACTGGTCCAGTTCCTCGCCCACGAGAAGGGGTTCTCGGAGGACCGCGTCCGCAGCGCCAGCATCAAGCTCCAGAAGAACATGCAGACGTCGCAGCAGGCGCGAATCGAGGGCTTCTTCAAGGTGCTGCCCAAGACCGAGGAGGAGAAGAAGGCGCATAAGCGCAAGCTCGAGGAGCAGGCGGAGCAGAAGAGGAAGAAGGTCAAGGAGGAGAAGAAGGAGAAGGCCAAGTTGAAGGCGAAGCCGAGAGGTGCTTAGGGCGGGATTGGGAATGTCATCTAGCGACACGATGCGCTGGTGGTTTGTCGGCGCTGCTGCGCATTTCGTCACCTACCTATTGTTGACGAGGCTGTCAAGTCATGCCGTGATGTTTGGCGCTGGCGTTTCAGGAGTTTCTTGGAGTTTTACAGGCGGAAGGGAAAAAAGGATAAGGGATTCGTGCATCATTCGGCACGTTGAGGAATCTGTGGGAACCCAAGGTTTTAGACATTTATATCTTTTTTGTTTTTGTTTTCTATGCGAATGATCAATGATTGATCCCTCACACGACAAATCTACCATTTTCTCCGGATCATGATTATCTATCGATGATCATGGGCATACGGGGTACGAACGGTATCAATCATTCAGACGGCCATCATGGAGCAAATTGCTGCATTAAGAAAGTTATGTTAATGAATAAATCCCAACCCCACAATATATTCAATCGCAGACGTGAAGTTGCATTGATTGAAGCCGTGACGGGATTTTGTGCAATGCAGTGCAGTGTGCAGTGCAAGTGCAGACTGCCCGTCGCCGCGGCACAGTGGCAGCACCACACTTGCCTCGGCTCTTTTGTTGGCTGGGGTGGTAAGTAATCCCAGCCGTTCCAATTGGTTCCCCACTGGGAGCAAATGACATCAGCCGAACGTGGGGACGGAAACAGTGAAACTTCACGACCGCAAATGGAAATTGGAGTTGGTTTTTGGGGATCACGGGGTGTCACATGTTCATGTTTCCCGTATTTCCCATCTCATTTCCACTTCCAGATCAAGGTCGGTCGGCCAGCCTTGTCGTTGTCGATGTTGCTTGGAAAACAGGCACAAGATTCGAGTTGAACAGAAAGTTTTGATTGCATCGATTGGAACAACAGGAAGTTTCATGTCAAGTGAGAAACTGAACCGAGCGAAGGCGGAGGTGGGTCGCTCGGATTGTGCATAGCGCAGGGGTCTTCCCCACGGGCAGGAAACACTCGACGGGTCGAGGACAGTGCCGACTTTACGAGGAAGAGGAAGAGATATCTCCAAATTCACAAGTATCTGTCGAAAACGGGAGGGGACAGAATTCAAGAAATAAGATTTCAGTAATCGTTGTATCAACGGCTTGTAATGGGACCTTTGGCTTCTTTATAATAACTTCGACGACAGCATCATCCTACAAAGACGCTCCAGTGACTTTCCAGTTGCAAATGATCAGACTGACGCGGGCAGTGTGCGCCTGTCGGGACTACAACTTCAGACCATGTTTACACACTTCTCGGATGTCAGATACGAACGAAGGCTGTCATCCTCCATTCTAATGTCAGATCTCATGCACATGTGCTCCAACTTGCACTTGAAATTCCAAAGAAAGACGTCGGTGTGGAAGCTTTCCGCGGGCGTGGCATGATCACATGTGAAAGTCCGTTCGGCGCATTCCCGCTGTACGGCGGACATTTGCCGCCAAACCATTGGCTGTCGCAAATCCATACCGTGTGGTGTACAACCGGGGGGCTCTCTGGGGAATTGCTTGGAATGGATGGATGCGACAAGGGACAAGGAGACAACGAACTGAACTCCCCCACACTGGCTACTCTCCCCCATATTTCTTTCTCTTACTTGTGCCCTCGTGGTCTCTCTTGTTCTTGATTCAAGAAAGTCTTTATTTTGCTTGATCTTCTCCCATTCTCTCTTCTTCTTTATCTTCTCTCTTACAATAACTCTTTCATCCCATATACCCCATTTTCTTATACCCATCCATTACATCCACCATGTCCAAGATCTTCACCCAGGCCGATGTCTCGTCGCACAACAAGCCAGACTCGCTCTGGATTGTCGTTGATGGCGACGTCTACGATGTCACCAAGTTCGCTGATGACCATCCCGGTATGTTTTATATGCGCCAAACCTTCTATCCTCTGTTTACAGCCCGAGGCGCAACCTAGAAACTGACAGTCCATGATCGGGAACAGGCGGCAAGAAGATCCTCCAGAGAGTTGGTGGCAAGGACGCCTCCAAGCAGTTCTGGAAGTACCACAACGAGGGCATCCTCAAGAAGTATCAGGGCAAGCTCCAGATTGGCTCTCTAGACACCAAGCCCAAGGCCGCTGCTCCCGCTCCCGCTGCTGCTCCCGCCCCTGCTCCCAAGGCCGCCCCCAAGCCCAAGGCTGCTGCTGCCGCTGCTTCTTCTTCCCATGAAGAGACCGAGGCTCTCGAGCCCTTCGGCCAGCTTATCCCCTTCGCTGACCCCAGCTGGTACCAGAGCGTAAGTTGAAAACCACCCCTCCAGAATATTTCGGCGCTATCTCTTCCCAAGTGCCTCGGCTAATCCACTTTTTTTGCCTTTCACTAGTACCACTCCCCTTACTACAACGAGACTCACGCCGCCCTCCGTGCCGAGATCCGCGAGTGGGTCGAGACCGCCATCGACCCCTATGTCACCGAGTGGGATGAGAAGAAGGAGGTTCCCGCCGAGATCTACAAGGAGATGGGCAAGCGCGGCTACCTCGCCGGTCTGCTTGGCACCAAGTACCAGAGCAACTATGTCGAGAACCCCATCAAGTCGGTCCCCGCCGAGAAGTGGGATCTCTTCCACGAGATGCTCCTGACCGACGAGCTGTCCCGCACCGGCTCCGGCGGTTTCGTCTGGAACGTCATCGGCGGGCTTCGGCATCGGCTGCCCTCCCCTCGTCAAGTTCGGCAAGAAGCCTCTCGTCGACCGCATCCTGCCCGGCATCCTCAACGGTGACAAGCGCATCTGCCTTGCCATCACCGAGCCCGACGCCGGCTCCGATGTCGCCAACCTCACCTGCGAGGCCAAGCTCAGCGAGGACGGCAAGCACTACATTGTCAACGGCGAGAAGAAGTGGATCACCAACGGTATCTGGTCCGACTACTTCACCACGGCCGTGCGCACCGGCGGGCCCGGCATGAACGGTGTCTCGCTCCTGCTCATCGAGCGCGACTTCCCCGGAGTGTCGACCCGCCGCATGGACTGCCAGGGCGTCTGGTCCTCGGGCACCACCTACATCACCTTTGAGGACGTCAAGGTTCCCGTGGAGAACCTGATCGGCAAGGAGAACCAGGGCTTCCGCGTCATCATGACCAACTTCAACCACGAGCGCATCGGCATCATCATCCAGTGCCTGCGCTTCTCGCGCGTCTGCTACGAGGAGTCGGTCAAGTACGCCAACAAGCGCCGCACCTTTGGCAAGAAGCTGATCGAGCACCCCGTCATCCGCCTCAAGCTCGCCCACATGGCCCGCCAGATCGAGGCCTCCTACAACTGGCTCGAGAACCTCATCTACCAGTGCGAGAAGATGGGCGAGACCGAGGCCATGCTCCGCCTCGGCGGCGCCATCGCCTCCCTCAAGGCCCAGGCCACCGTCACCTTCGAGTTCTGCGCCCGCGAGGCGTCCCAGATCTTCGGCGGCCTGTCCTACTCCCGCGGCGGCCAGGGCGGCAAGGTCGAGAGGCTGTACCGTGATGTCAGGGCTTATGCCATCCCCGGTGGCTCCGAGGAGATCATGCTTGATCTCAGCATAAGGCAGAGCTTGCGCGTTGCCAAGATGACTGGTATGAAGCTTTAAGGCAGATAGATGATGTTTAATGTTTGCTGTTGTGTGATTTAGAAAAAGCATCTTGGGGTTAACGGTTTTTTTCTGTTTTGTTTTGGCATAAATGTCTTTTTCTATTCATGGGGTTCTTTTTGTACAACTCCATATATATATCTATAACTGTACTTCTATGTGGTATGATTACAGATAGCTAGCTACACAATCAAGGTGGCGGCGTTGTTGTTTACTTCGATGAAGTGTGTCTCTGTCGTGAGCCATGTGATGTGATAATCACATGCATGCTCCGTTATTCTTGGAACACGTCGATGTTCTCATAGGGACCAAGGCACCGTTATAACAGAAGAAGAGCAGCGACCATACCATTCATTATATAGGCACAACTGATTCCGAGAATAATAACCGTACTTGATATATTCGAGTGTCGGGTTAATGAGCTTTTAATGGATGTATTCTGGCGGCCACTGATCATTTCCTTTAGGGACCGAAGAAGGAGTTGGATCGAGTGTCATCACAGTCAGTGATACAAAGGTACTGCCAGATGGTTTAACTTTGACCTCTTCCTGATATCTTTGATTCCCATTTTCCAATTTCCATTTTAGCATCTGTACTCTCTTGTTTCTGAAAGCCACATAGCAGGCTCTGCTCGTGAGACGTATCAGGCTCTGCTCTTACAGTGTCTATATGGAAATTGTGCCTTCCTTTTTTGATCGTTGCGCTCCCGGTCTTGCGACACAACTCTTTCTGGTCTTCTTTGTCTCCAAACTGCTTATCACTGTCACGGAGCGCATTGAGCCACTACACCAAATGGACCGTGTTCCTGC